TGTACAATACACAGGAAAATTGTACAATAAAATAGTATTGAAAAAAGAAACAATCATATATTATTAAAGACCTCATTGTACACAACATTATGAGTTTGATTATCGGGTAACCCATTCTCACAAACTAATATCTTCAACCCCCTTCTATTAGTCACACGCGAAACAGTAACATATAATTGACCATGGCTAAAGACAGGCTTCTTTAGAAAAAGACCAACGTGGGATAAAGACTGTCTCTGACTCTTGTTTATGGTCATGGCATACAAAACCATAAGTGGGAACTACCGCTGTTGAAACTTAAATGGAACCCTAAGATCAGAAGGAGTAATATTCATTATAGGAATCAACACTGTGTCGCCAACATGATCACCAGTCAATATCTTGCATTCAAGACAAAAAAACAATAGGCTTCGATCATCCATATTTCACATCTTTTAATAAGTGGCGTTTATTTAAGCCGAGAAATTAACATGTTAATTAATATATAATTCCGCTAACACGTCATACTAATATTTATTTGATTTTAGAATACATATTTATTCATTGATATAAGAAAAACTAAAATTTTTATTAATTATTGTTCACCATATAATACTCAATTATTATTTTCTTATAAAATTTACAGTCATATAATGTAATTATGATTATTTATAAAAGTTATACAAGTAGTCATCTTTATGTATTGAAATTCAAAATAAAATTTTGAGTATAAATGTTTACAAAATACACACACATGTTTTTTAGAATTCAATTTTCTCATAATAATTCTTTTTTTTTTTCATCCTAAGGCTTTATAATTTATTTAACATACTATGCAATAGAAAAATATTTTACAATAAGTTCATTTTTGAAACATAACAAAAAAAAGTGATAAAAACACTATCATAGTTGACAATAATATACAAATAAATAACATGTCGAAATTTTAAAGTAAACTAATATAATTTTATTATCTAACCATCAATAAAATCATTTAATGATGTTATCATTATCTTTTAAATAATAAATAAAATTAATTTTTTTAAAAAAATATTAGTGTTATATAATTAAAAAAGGTTAAAAAATATTACTCGACAAATATTAATTATAATGGATATCAGTAAAATCATTGCATAAATTATTTAAGGAAAAAATCTTTAAGATCATATTTGGATAGTAAATGTAAATATGCAAGCATTTAATGCATATAGTAAAAAATTTCTAAATAAAATATGCATTAAATGTGTGTTGACTTTTCTTGCTACTGTTTTGATAAATAGGTTGGCTTTTAATATATACTAGTGCGTATCCCGTGCGATGCACGGGTAAACAATATTAAATAATAATTATAAATAGGTCTCGAGTTCGAGTCGCTCAATGAAAGAAGTGGGAAATCATCATTTCTTAAAAGAGCAAGAAAAAATAGTGTAAATTAAAGATGAGGGTGAACAAATTAAAGATTAATGGTTAACATGCGATATAATTTATCGTATATCATTTTATTATAAACAATTTAAAATTAGCTTGTACAAGAGAACATAAATTTTATATGTTTAAAATATTACAAACAATTAAAATGTTATATTAACATATGTAAAAATATCTAAAATTTTCTATATTTATTATTAATATGTGTGGAGTCATCTACAACTGTTCTAAACTATTTTGAAAAGAAAACATGTCTAAACACATTAAATTTTATATTTAACTTAGATTAAGGCAAAAATTGAAGACATTGAATATTTTTAGGGGAGAAATATATGATAAATTTTATTTTATTTTACGATATAATATATATATATTAAAAACATCTAAAATATTATATCATTTATATTAAATGTATCTAAAATATTCTATATTATTCTTGAAATATGTTGAAGACACCTAAATTTTTTCTAAAATATCATGTAAAGAAAACATGTATAAAAATATTTAAGTTTAACCTCCATATATGTACATGTATCCTCCATATATACTTAATCATTGTCCAAATAATATTTAAAATATCTAAAATATTATATAAGTTAATATAATAATTAGATAGATAAAAATTAGCTTTTTAAAAAACAATACATAAAGAATTTGTGTTGCTAACGAGATATTGAATTTTAAAATTTACATAATCCTTGCTCAGAGAAAGTTTAAATGTATCAGTTTTCTTTGTTGTACACGTGCATTATAAAAATCTATATTTATAGTTTAGATTTTTTTTGTTGTTTTATGGAATCAAATTCATTAATCAAAGAAATCATGTATCTTCCAGCAGTACACATCTATATACATTCTTTACAATTTTAAATTTTGGATTTGAAGAGTTTTCTAATCAATGACTGAAAAAATATTTTTTATAATTTTAAATCAGCCATATCTTCAATTTTACAGTGTTTTGAAATTACATAATAGTTTTTTTAATTT